ACTGCCAGAGTAACTAAAGACTTTGCACTTGGGCACGGTGAAAAATAGACTGTGAAAGGAATAGTTAAAAGCAGTGGCTCTTTGTCCAGGTGTAAATTATGACTTTTGATACTTTTCACCTCTAATTTCTTCCAGCGTCATCCAAAGATGAAATTTATTCTTTGTCTTGTAAGAAGAAAATATGAACTTTTGCTCTTTCGTGTTAAGTTTCTTTTTATTGCCCAAAATATGGATTTTTAAATTTTTTTTTTATCATTTTGGTTTTTAATGAGGCAACGCACTTGCAACTTCCTTATTAAAATCTTAGTGGAAACAGAGCACAGGTCAGGTTTTTTTTTTTTCTTTCTTGTCTGGAAGGGAAGTAGGTGTATATAGTGTGTTACATCTGCTTGTGCTTGATCTGTTAGGCCAATAACGATGGCAAAAGTCACACAACCTGTCTCTACTGGGATTTAATAAAACAGATAGTATATGTAGAATCTAACTGCAATTAGGTAAAACTATTTTATGCTACTGTTTACTTTTTTGGCAACTGTGGTGTGTTGACCTTGGCCAGACCTCCACCCAGCTGCTCTTTCACTCCCTTCCTCAACAGCACAAGGAGAGAAAATAAGATGAAAAAGCCCATGGGCCGAGACAAAGACAGGCAGATCACTTCTCTGGGAAATCACAATTACGGATGTCACGGGCAAAACTTGGCTTGGGGAAAGATTAACTTCATTCCCACCACCAGCGCAGGGGGATGGGGACTGGGGGCTGCGGGCAGTCCATAGCACTTGGTCTCTGCTGGTCCTTCCTTCTCTCCCTGTTCCCCTTCTCTAGCCTGGAGCACCGTTGTGAATAGTTAGCTCTAACAGTTACTGTAAATTCTCATTGAAAATATTAGATAGTTAATCATAGGGATTAATAAGTTTGTGAGCATTTCCCTCGCTTATACCTTGCATTTCTGCGCAGTCCAAAAATATCTTATCATCTAGCTTTTGATCGCCTGTTATCATGTTATTTCTCTGTTTTAACATTAAATATCTGGGTAATTGTTCCCTGTTGCTTGTAGTGGTTTGCTTAGCACCTCTTGCTTTTGTACTGTGCCGATATTGCCACTAATAATAATCCAAGGCATTCGTTAGCTCCAGAAAGTGGCCACTTGGCTGTTTTGTCATCCCTTTATTCAATACATCTATTAATTGAAGAACTTTTGACTTGGTAAATAATACAGTATTGCCGGTTTGTTTCCCGTGTGTGTGTTTTTTTTCATATGCAGTTATGCCTACGTTTCATCATTTGTACATAAATATAAATGCTGTCTGCCCATTTACGTGGTTGGCTGAGTGTTGCAGTAGCTGTACGTGAGAACAGATTAGATGTTTGCCTGACCGCCTGGGTTCTCTGTACGCTAATATCTAAGTGTACACTGGAGCATACATTATCCTTGAAAGTCTTGTTTTTAATACTTAGGCATATTTTGACATTTATTTGGATAGTGTTATAAATGACTATCTCGTATCAGCACAGTTCCCGTTGGCTGTAGGTAATTAATTATTTAAAAATTAAAGGAAAATCGTCTGGCATTGGTTTTATTTAATCCTTTTACTTCATGTCTAATAACATTGATGAAACACATACATTTGTCTTGGTACGTGAAGGGGCATTTGGTGCTAATTCTGTGAGCACATATTTTCATAGGGATGCGTCCCCGCTGTGATCCTTCTTCCAGTGGGTGTTACCTTATAAAAGTAGTGTCTAGTGTTAGCCAATACCTTTCAAATTTGAAAACTTTATAGTTTGTTCTCATCAACGCTATGCTACCTCAAGCTTAGCTGGACATCTAATTACAAATCTTCTGTTTCAAACACTATTCTTTCTACAATTTCTATTATTTATGTTTATGTTGCCTCACTTGCTTTAATGGATTGCACAGCAACTTTTGCCACATACAGAGTACTACAAAATACAGTTTTCAATGTTAAAGGAAATGCTTGTTTAAAAAAAAACTGCAGATAGAGTATGTAGGGCTAAAGTTTTGCATAAGGTTTTTTAAGTTTCGACTTAAGATATTACAAGCATGTATAAATGGGGGAAAAACCCCCAACTCTTTCAATCCTATTTTAGTAGATAGTATTTCTTTACAAATTAAGAATGACTTTCTTATAAAAGGCATAATAAAATATTTTGTGTGTTTTTCAAAGATATAAATTTGAGGTATAGTTTACTTTGGCATTGGGCTTCTGAGTTTCTTGGAGTAGGTAGACGACTGAGGAAGGAGTGAGGTTGTGTACGTTCATGGGATATAGCCTCTTAAGAAATTTAAAAAGGTTGAGGGGAAGTAGTTTGTGAGATGCTGAACAGATGCTTTGGCTTTGTGACAAATGGTTTATGAATGCTGTCTGGAGCATTTAATGAAATGCTGTAGGACTAACACATGTAGCTAGATATATGCAAATTTACTGCTAAGTATTTTTAAATGATCAAAAATGAGGTTGAAAAAATAGAGTACTATAAAATGTGTTGGTATGCAGAAAAATACATGTTGGAGTTTCTGAAGACTATAGCAGATTATCTTATAGGAACAAGATCTTGAAATACATCTAGGTTATTTCTTATAATTCGATTGTGATTTTATTTTCCGCCCAATGTTTTTATCTTGAGATAAGTTGAGAGAAACGACATTTCAGAAATTCTGCAAAACTCAGTTCTTCTATTCTACTCCTTCCTTCCCTCCACAGATTCCCTTTGGAAGAAGTTGGAGGATTTATCTGCTTCCTGACCTCAGTGTTAGAAATGTTAATGTTTATTTTGTGTAGGAAAAAAAATCAGTTGCTTTTTGTCTGTTGCTTAGAAATATTTGCAAGTTATGGCTAAGAGGCAATGTAAATGGCTACAGAGAATCTGTGCTAACAGTGTGGAAAGCAGTCTTTGTAATTTTTGACTGATCCTTTTCAGTTTTCTAACTCTCATGTAGCAAAAAAACCACTCAAATTGCTGACTTACAACCTCCCCCTGCCACATGCGTAGTATTTATTGCCAAAAATTTTGGGAATATTATTCAGTAGTGTACCAATCATGAATAATCAGGTGCTTGTAAGAGCATATGTATTATTAAGATAGAGATTACAAACACGCTTGTTACTAAGTAAATTTATTCTAGAGTCAAGGGGCATAATAACTACACGCCAGTGAACATAGCCTTAGGAACACATTTTTGAACATCTCACATGCAATTGTCAATTGATTTTAGACCATAATCATTAAAGACTTATAACAACAGCAAACCTAAATAGTATAACATGATTCCTTTGTGTCTTTATAAACGGGTATTAATGATGAAGAGATGACCAGAAACTGATACTGTGCCACATTCTCTAATAAAAAATGAATCCGATAATGGATTCTGCATATAATTCTAATTCTGGGTGCTCATGTTACATTATAGTAGAGTTTTCTTTAAAGCCTTTTTTTTGAGTTTAGTATTAAAAATCAAGATCTTGGTATTGTACTTTAATAGCTGCTTTCATTCTATTGTATTGCTTTCTCTTTTGTTATAAGTTTTTTTTAGCACAGAATATCTTTACAGGCCAGTAAATTAGTATGTCACACAGATGACTTAATCTGTATACATAAATTTTCATCTCCTGAGCACCAGCTTGTCAACAGTTTTCAGAATGGTTAATACAACTGTTTAGGACATACTAGAACACAATAGTTCCTTGTTGCATAAAAATCAAAGGACAAACTTAAGGTACAGAATGGTAATAGTTTATACAAATAAATACTTCAGAGAAGAATTTCCATCAATAAATGCTCATTCGTGTATATACTCTCAGAGCTTCTATGAGGCTACTCATTTGGACAAGTGCTCACAAATCTATGATTTTTTTAAACTTAGGCTAGTTTTTGAACTGTATTTTTGATGGATCTCATCTGAGCCTTCTTCAGGAGGAAGGGCTCTTTATTCTGGTGCTCTTTAGGTGTAGAAGTAGAAGCAAAATCTGTTAACATGAAGCTTGTGGAATCATTAAGCAGGAGGGGAGGTAAGTTCAGGTTAGGAAACTTTCCTGTGGCAGGGATTCAGATTGTATACTGAGTTGGATTTTCTCACCTGGTTGTAATGTTTTGCCTGTCTCAGAAGCTTTGTTCTGTGGGATTCATTCACTAGATAGTACCTGGTATGGAGTTCTTGCTCTTGAAGAAATGGGGGTGCTCTAGGGCTAGGATAGATGGTAGCCCTGTCTTTACTGTCCATTCTGCAGAACAACAGGACAAACGGTTTCAGCACTATGTCCTGTATAACCTGTTTAAACATCTGATTTCCTCTTTCTGCCTTTGTAGGTAGACGGGCTCAGCTTGTTCTGTCTTCTGTATACTTGTAAAATAAATTTAGAAGTTGAGCTCTTTTCCAGCTATAGAAACTTCTGTTATCCCCTCAAATCCATTGGTGAACAGAGCAGCAAACCCAAGTTTTCAGGACAAATGTGGCTAGGTGTCCTAAGTAAGCTATTTCTATTGCTAATGTATCTAAAATTGAAGTCTTGCCTTTTTTTCTGGGTAGAGAAAGGTGTAATAAAGGTGCACTGAGGAATGTGGACCTTATTATTCCATATTTTTCTTTTTAAGAAAACCTGTGGAGCAAGTTGAGAGAATTTTGGCCTCACTGACCTCAGAATAATGATGATCCTTTGCTCCGCTCATTATTTTTATTCAGTCTGTCTGTGATCCTCTTTCCAATTATCTTATCCTAAAACAAGAGAGAGAAAGGTTTGTAGGTGAAAGCATCTAGATAGGTCCTCAGAGATATGTGATGTCTTCCGTAGATACTGCTTCAGTGATGTTTCTAGGCATTTTATACCTTGCTGGATTTCTTGCTACTTGAATTTTGAGATTTTGGGATATGAAAACCTTTGCATTCCATCCTTTTTCACAGTTGAACAATCAGTTTCTTGGCATTTATCTTTTTCCTTACTACTGTTTTGTTTTGTTTTCTTTCCCACTCCCCCCTTCTTTAGGATCATATATGATAGTGATTTCCTCAGACCACGACCCTGGAGAAAAGACTCGACTCCAGCTTCCAACAATGAAGGAAAACGATACTCACTGCATCGACTTCAGCTACCTTCTGTACAGCAAGAATGGAGCAAACCCGGGCACTTTGAACATCTTGGTTAGGGTGAACAAAGGGCCGCTGGCTAATCCCATCTGGAACGTCACCAGCTCCACTGGCAAAGACTGGCTTCGAGCGGAGTTGGCTGTCAGCACTTTCTGGCCCAATGAGTATCAGGTAAGCTTGCAATAAATTCTCACTGCTTTATAACATTTATGGCGAGGTCCTATACAGTTTACGTTCATTTTGGTCTGTTCTGGTATTTTCCCAGTGTCCTTAAATAAAGTGTTCTGTTCAGAATAAATAGTTATTTGGGGATGGGTATTTTTCTTATAGGAGGTGATCGTTCAAAGCTATCTGTTATTCTGTAATAGGAAAAAAAAGCTGGAAACAAGCCTCATTAAAAGAAATGTTAAGGTTAAAGTCCAGGAACATCAAAAATTATAAACTCCCAGAAATAAATTGCCTATGCAACTGTAATTTGTACCTGTCTTCCCTCCTCTTTTGGATATGCCTGTGTTACCGTGTCCAATTACGTGACCATAAACTGTGGTTGTTTTCACATGACATTTGCTTCATTTGCTGTGCAGGCAGAATGGTGCTCACCTAATGAGCAGCTGCTCAGGATGTGTGTTTCTCCTCTTTGCTCGCTATGGGACAAAACCACCTGCAGTGTAGGGCTGTTTAGAGAGAAAAATTGTCTTGTTATTACTAGATGCTGTTATTTGATTTGTTTGATTAACCTGAGAAAGTACCTGCAGCTGTTTTGCTCAGTGGGTATTTGATGTGAAGGATGAATCTCATAGACAGGCATTTTTGTCCTGGTGTGTAGGAGGGGGAAGAGTTGGATTAGATGCACTCATCTGAGTTGTTACACCATGAGGTGTTATGTCATTGTTGCATGTAGTGCTTACAGACCCCTGTCTAAGGACACTTCAGGTCATTAGTGCTCTTGCAGACAGTTTGGATGTCCAGACTAGTTATCAAATGAAGCAAAGTGGCCTCTTTAGTAATGGTTTTCTTGAATAGTGGTATTGTAGGAATGTTTCTTAGAGTGCCTTTTCTAAAGTTCTTTGCAATTGCCCACCATCAAAATAATCTCCATAAAAAACAACCATCAGTGCAAGCAGCCTTACTTATAGGTAGAACCTGGTTGTAATTTACTATCATTTCATGTTTTTCTTCAGTTTTTGTTTCCCTGTTTTTAATATTTTTATTTATAAAGGAATTTAATCTATCAGTGACATTGAAACTGGGTAAAATTTGATTTTAAAGTTCTGAAACCTGGTTTCATAAAGCTTGGCTTCTGAGAAGGTGTTTTATTAACCCTTTTATGTTGCTGAAAGTAGCTTTTGGTGTGCTTAAAAAACCAGGAGCCTTTTATAGCAGTATAGTAGTAATCAAGTATAGCAGTATTATATGCAGTAAATCAGGTTTCTGCTGACAGATGGCCAGGCTTGATAATGAGATTGGTGGTTGGGGCCTTATCTTAGCAATGTGGCCATTTTTCACTTACGTTACAGCCTTCACATTATCTCTCTATAGACTGCGCTTAAATTCATTCTTTGCCTTGCTCGGTTATCCAGCAGAATATTGAAATAACGTGTAACACAGTTTATTTTTAAATTAAAAATAAGTCTGGAGTAGGACTGGACAACTGTTAATGCAACCTGCTGTGATTTGTGTACCTCTTGCAGAATTGCTTTTATGAACAGGAGGGGAAATCTGCATGCTGTTCATGCACGCCTGCTTGTTTGCACAACCAGGGTTGGTATTTTTGTGGTTTTAAGTGGTTCTTTGAGGTCTCAAAGTCAACATTGCTCTTCATTGTTCGGTGGGGTTTTTTTTTGTTTTTTTTTTTTAGTGTTAGTTTTGAGTTGAGTTATTCTTTGGCATGGAAATCCTTCCCCCGCCTTTTCTCATAGGAGTTCTTTGCTGTAGAGCTCTAGCTCGTGATTTTGGCACTTTGATCTACCTGTTGGTCCATGAGCTTAGCTAGCACTGAAGGGAAATATGCATCGATTTTTGTAATGTGATGGAAGAGGTTCTTTACTAAACCGGGAACTGGATCTCTGCCTGTACAAGCAAGGTCACTGCTAAAGATCACTGCGGAGCACAACTGTTTGTGTGTACTTTGTTAATCAGGTCACCTTCATTGCCATTTCCTTCACTTTTAAGTGAGGGAAAGGAGTAGAGATTAGCAGGGGCTGAATAGCCCAGGTTATGGTATAAGGAAGTCTCTTGTATGGTGACTTGGAAGTTAGCAGGATGGCTGTGTTAATAGTACTAATAAAGTGCTGCACCTAGGCTAATTAGCTCCTAAACAGCATTTCTGTGCTCTGCTGTGCTGGTTGAAGCTTTATTGCTTCCTGTTCAAAACTAGCACAGTGTTTTTGCATGTCACTGGTCAACAGTATAGATATAGCTTATGCATTTTTGGATTGACTTAACATTTCTTTTTACTTACAAGATAGAGATATATATATGTATATATATATTAAAAAAAAAAAACAATCCATTTACTTGCCTGTCTCTAAATATATTCTGTTGAGCGGTTGGTTGGTTTGCCTTTTTTTTACTTATTTTCTGACAAAATACAGTACACTTCTAGAATAGCTTTACTGGATCAAGCTGAATTTTTGTTTAGTTTCATATCCTGTCTCTGATAGCAGATAACAGATAACAAGTGGAAGCTTGTAGAAGAGTTCATGAACAGGACAAACTCATGGTCATACCTCCCCCAGAATACACTTCCAGCCTTGAGCCTATTTGTGGTTCAAGAACTTTGAGCTTGAGAACCAAAGTAGTGCCTTTCTATACTCCTGTTAGTTCACAGGGGCTTTTTGCACTGGTTTAAACTTCTAGTGTCTAAAGTGTATATGACATGGAATTCTAATGTTAATTACACGTTAGGACCATTCCTGTGGGTTTCTCCAAGCATGGGGCCTGTAATTTCTCAGTTGTCATATTTTGCACTCGAGAAGTTTCAGCAGTCCTGTAATGGTACGATCTGTCTTCTCTCTCCTGCTAGCAAGGCATCTGCATCTTCTATTCTGTTTGTTTAACACGTGGATGAACTGTCGAGGAAAAGGGTTTGGTTAGAAAATCCCTTGGGATTGAGGATACGATTTGATTTTGGTCCTTGTTAGTTCTGGAATCTTTTTTTATCACTCTGTTGGAAATATGCCACCTTTGATCTGCCTAAAGTTTGCTTCAAAGGAAGAATATTTTGGGAGATTTGTTGTTTAAACTTTATAACTGTCTGGGAGTTTTGTTTCTCTATTGTCTATGTTGGTTACTACTGTAACTCATTAATTTATATTAGTTAAGATGTTTATTCCTGTCTGGATGTGTTGTTTTGTCTAATACTTCTGTTCATTTCCCCAAGTTCTCTCCTGCTTTGCACAGTAGGAATTATCCAGCTGCTGAGGACTGTCTCTTCCTTTCTGCTTCTGTCACAGGCATTTTTCCACTTCTCCCTTGCCAACTATGTCATCCTTTTTGAATTTTGTGTGTGTGTGTGTTTGGGGTTTTTTTTGTTTGTTTTTTGTACATTGTCCCCCAAAAGTCCTTTGTTTCCTATTTTTTGTGTGTGTGTCCCCAGCAAATTCATTTTGCTCCCTCTGGGTCATATCCTTGCTCGATCATGTGTGAGGTCCACTTTGCAATGTGAACCATGGACTTTCTGGTTTTGGTTTTATATTACATCTCTCTGGTTTTTGTAACCTTTGATCAGGAACTGATAAAGAAACTCTTGTCCTGGAACCATGAATCTCAAAGTTGAAAAAAACTAATTACTTGGTTTCTTTATGGTTCTTCAAAACTTCATTATACAGTAATAGGGCTCTGTAGTTTAATAAAGAGGCTGGCTAGGATAGCTGCTTGATAGGAGTGATGGTTCCACTTGGAAGTGTAGCTAGCAAACAAAAAATACTGAACTGCACCAAGCAGAAGTCCTTTTATCAGTTCAGGAAGACTAATGATATGTGACCATTTGAAAAAGTACAGGAAAACTCTAGAAAACTAAATAGTTTTCTTGCTGAATTGTGAATCCTGATTTGGATAATGAATCTGTTCTTTATTTTAATATTGATGATTTATAGGATTTATAAAAGTTTAAGTAGCTCAAAGATCTTGGAAGGTTATTTTCCTTTATGATCTTAAAAGGTCTTGAAACTGTAATAGAACTATTACGGGAGGATGGCAGGTTGATTGAAGATTCACTAATGGTGTGTGCAGTTGGGCCATATGCCAGATAAGGTAGGAAACAGATTTCTTGTGAAATATGAGAATCTGTTGCCTTTTTGGATATCCGATAACTATTCTAAACTTGCAGACGTTGTGAGACTAAACCAGCTGCATGCAGAAAAGTTTGGGAAAGCAGGGAATTTTGATTTGTTCTAGTCAGTTAGCACAGCTAAGAAGGGAAAGCAACAAGTAAAATGCTAGTGGAAAGTACAGAAGTACATACAGCCTGTGTGAACTGCGTTAGAACTGAGTCGCAGGCCAACTCAAGAAAAAGAAACCCACCCTCCCAAACTCCCTCTTCCTATTTTTAAGATTCTATACGATCTCTAACCTTGAAGTGCAATGTAGCATCCAGAAAATCCAAAGAAGCTCTTTAAAAAAAGAAAGCATTCCAAAGGACTGATATTTTAAAAGGATTTTATTTAAAATATATTGGAATACAGAAAATGACTTAAAATAGTATCAGAGACATACTGGATGAATAAAACGAATAAAACAACTAATGTAATTTTGTTGACTAAATAGATAATAATTGAATATAGAAAATGTTACATTTGAACATTTTAAGAAAAACTGATAAGCAGCCAGCCAGTTAATGTTGAAACTTGCTGTAAGTCTTGCATGTTGAGTTGCGAGACAGTGAAAGTCTTGTTGTGGAAATCTCAGCATGAGGAAGAGTTAAGCGCCAGAGGTCTGTAGCCATGTGTGAGAGACAGTGCTTCAATAGGCTAAGTTTCTCTGGCCTAGAAAAAGACACAGTTCAGGGGAACATGATAAAGGTCTGCAAAACCATCGCTGGCATGAAGGGGAATCCTCTTCCAGTTCAAGATTGGGGGCCTTTTTGGTCTGGTGAGGGAGCCAGACTGAAAAGATGCAAACGGAGGTGGGTCACACAGCAGACTGTAGACCTGTGGAAGTCTGTGTCGGAA